ACGCAAAGCGCCACGAATTGCAGCCCTGACCACTTGGCATGCATGCACGTATCGTGCCCTGCGGAAACACGTCCTGGATGCGGGTGCCTTTCGCAAGATGTTTGTTTCACCCTGCAGAGATTGTCAACGGTCGTGGCACCCGCGGGCAGCCCCGGGAACCTGAAAAAGGTGAGACGCCTCTACTGCCTGCTGAATTCAGCTTGCAAGCTTCTAGTGCCCCTGCGACGTTTTGGGCCTTGGTTTTTTTTCGGTCGGTCCTTCCGCTCGTGGTGCCTGTCTTTGGCCCTCGCTTCGCTTCTTTCGCTTCGGGCCCTTGCTCGGTCCTCCTCGCTGCGTGTGCAATCATAATTCCTATGAGTTGGCGCTTGACTCTAACCCACGGCCATCGGGGCGGATGCCGAGCGCGGGCTGCGCCCCAGCGACGGTGCCCGCCAGCGGGTGGTTCAGCGAGGGCGGCACATCTCCCGCCGCAGTGCCAGGGCCCGAGGCAAGATGGCCTGGAGTTTGCGAGCGCCTCCCGCCGTCCGAGAGACAGCGGAGCCTGTCGCTGATGAGCGGGCAGCTGATGGCCAAGGCCGTCATTGGCGCCCTCGTAGCCGACCCAGAGGCGCATTTGTCCAGGTCTGCTTTTACCGCTGACGAAAGGGACGCGATAGACTCCACAACTTCCAGATGCAAGAAACGAAGGACCTGCCGCTGCCACAGAGCACTAGGAGGATGCATGATGACGCTGGTGGCTCCAACATGATTGACAACAGTATATAACATTAACACACGTACGAATCAACATGCTCTGGTTGGCAATGTCCTGCGCCATCTTGGGCTTGATATGTGGATGCCCATGAACACTCAGCATTTCTTGTAAGCGACCACGGCGAATCAGCATGAGGAACATACCACGATTTCCGCGCAAGAAGGCACACAACAGCAACAATACTTGTAGTGCGAACACGATCAACCCACCAGTGCACAAGGTCGGGATCCTCGAACCCAGGGCAACCATACTCTTGAATACAGCGTACATGCACTCCCAGACAAGAGCAATCCAGAACAAAAGTCAAGAATCTCTCTAGCGGCCTGGGGCCACGTGACGATGGGTGGGAGCGGCCTGAGGTCATGACCACGCGGCATCCGCGGCGCACCACTGGGAATAGCAGCATCCAGAGCGGCATCCGCAGCGTCCTTCCCAAGGCAAGGTCCTTCCCTCAAGGCAGCGGTGCTCCAGAGCGAGGGAGACTCTAGACTGCACGAAGTGGTTCAGGTATCCACAGCCAGGCCGCCGGAAATGCTTGATGGGGACAGGGCGCACATGGAACTCCGTATCGCATGCGTCACACTTGGAGCCCTTGGCGAAGCGCTGGCCAGGATCAAGTGGTTGATTGACCCTCTACAAGCGCCCACGGTACCCCGCAACTGCAGAAAAAGCCACACTCAAAACCTACGTAGTGCTCCACAATTCCCTCCTCCTCCTCCACCTCCTCCTCCTCCTCCTCCTCCCTCCCGTTTCCCATCTCCCCCATCTCCTCCGGGCCTTTTCCCTCTTCTATCCTCCTCCTCCTCCTCCTCCTCCTCCTCCTCCTCCCTCTCCCCTTCAATCTTGCCTGGATGGCAAGCCCGTGCGGCGCTCAACTTTCCAAAAGGGGTGCATTCCCGCACTGGAATGCCAATCGGGCCTACTGAGCAGGGGGACTCGGGACGAAGGCCGATTTACAGCATCTTTGATGCATCCTGGGTCCCTCTCCGTTCCCGTCCGCCATCTTACGCCCTGCTTCTCCCCCTTCCTCTCCCTCCTTGACATCTTCCTTCTCCTCCCTTCTCATCCTCCTCGCCCTCCTCCTTCTACCTCCCTCCCTCCCTCTCATCTTCTTCCTCTTCCTCCTCCTCCTCCTCCTCCTCCATCTCCCCTCCCCGCTCGTCCTTCTCACGCGCGGGCTGGAATCAATCTGCCTAGCTTGCGTGGTGTATTTCGTCGGCTTAGACTGGGGGGATCTGCATGGAGCGGGTTAGACCAGCTCCTGGTCGACGGCGCATATTGGGATCCGTTGTTGGGTATTGGGCCCTCACTGGCGGTCGGAGTGCCAAGAGTTTTCCATAGTAGCGTACCGCCAGGAGGTGTTTGACATGTGCTGCACTCGCAATTTGTTGTTGTACTTTCTTATTTGTTACTCGGTATTGATCCTGCACGTCTTGCACAGTGCCACGAAGCGTTCATTTCACAATTTGATTTGCCGTTCGTTTGCGGTTCACTTCAACGGAACATGACTCAACAATTGCCGTGGGGCGTCCTAGGGGTGAACGGAAGTCTGCGATGTGGGCTTGGTGCCTACGTGCTACAGCGCAATTGGTGGCACTCGTCTGGATTCCCCGACGCCCTCTTTTGGGCAACAAGCCAATGGACATCGCCGTTTTCTACGGAATGGTGAAAGTGGCATCGTATTTCGTCGTCGCGGTCGGGTACCTCTCGCCCGCGGTCTCCGTGGCGAGTGGCGGCGAGCTGAGTGGGGAGTTCAGATTCGCATCGCGACGAAGGTGTCCATTCCATTCCCCCCCCTGGCCCTCCTCCTCCATCCTCCATCCTCCTCCCTTCTCCTTCCTTCTCTTAGGCGGACGTCTCCTCGGTGATATCGCCAGGCAACCCGCCGATCCACACCGTCTGGCAATCGGGTGGTCGCTTCGTCTCTGGCACGCCTGTCCGGCGCCCACAACATGCACCCACAGGGAGACGGCAACGAGGCGAGGATCAAACAGGTGATGCACGTGCAAGATCAGCCGCATGGCAATAGAAGAACAACAAATTGCATACAGATAAACGTTCGGAGGTCCGCAAGGATTTCTTGGATGGGCTCTGCCCTCCCTGGCGGCGCCTGCGTAGCCCCTGGCGCGCTCCGCGCGCCAGGGGGTGGTCCAGCGCCGACCCAAGAGATTCCCCCACCGCAGACCTCTGAAAATTGTTATGTATGAATTTCTTTGATTCAAGGACTGATGCACATACGACATCAACGGCATGGCAAGCTGCGTGCCATCAAGACTCCAGAAATAGCCGAAGCGTCCCCGAGAGCTTTGATGAGATAGTCCTTTAGATACTCTGTGGCGAGCGTGGTTGCTCACACACCGTGGTGACACTGCATTGACATACCACTATCCTGGCCTACCCTGCAAGCATCGCACAACATGCAGAAACGATGACTTTCACATGATGTAGCAGGGCTTTGCTCATGAAGGCTGGGTAATTACCACGCGTGCGCAAGAATATGCAGCGCATCCCGATCGCACGGTTATTTTCTTGATCGTGCGCTGCTGTGCAATTGCCCTGCACTCACGTGGCGCCCGCGAGGGCCTTTGTCTTTGCCGGAGCGGTAGGCCTCGGCTGGCTTGTCCTCTGCGAAATCCAAGCGGATCGGGACACCTGCCGCGACGGCATGCCGCAACAAACCAGGCTGGTCAGGCGGGCTTGTCTTGCCGATGCATCTGGCGCGTGACCCAAGAGTACCCACCATGCAGCAACTAACATGTTGTCAAACGAAGGGCCCGACCGCATGCGGCTGCGCGTAGTGCAGGGGGTGACCAATTTCCTCGAATGCCGTTCGTCGCAGGATGACAGAGGTTGCAGCTCCCTGTGAGGTACGGTGGGTGTGATGGGTCGGCCACGCGAGCTCCCCAACGGGGCCATGGTTGGAACTCCCTAAGGGCACGATCCGTGCATTGAGGCGGGATGCCATGCAAACTCGTCACTAGCGCTGTAATCTGAGCTCCCCGTAAGGCACAATGCGCGCAAAAACTGTGCCGAATTGACGTGGGTAGGGGAAGGGGACCGCATGCGAACCCTACCCCTACCCCCCACGAGTTCTGAGGGGGAGGGTGGGGTTCACTTCGCTTGGGAGCTCCCGAACGAAGTGAACCCCACCCTCCCCCTCAGAAATCGTGGGGGGTAGGGGTGGCCCCCTAGTGGGGAGGCCATGCGAGCTCCCGACAGGGTCCGTCACAGAAGCTCCATATGGCGCACGATTTGTGTGAGGGTTGTGCCGATTGAGGCTGGGACGCCAAGCGAGCTCCCCCACTGGGGCCGCTATCGGAGCGACCGATGTGACACGATCCGTGTGAGTGGTGTGCTGAAATGTGCGGGGATAGACGCCATGCGAGCTCCACCACTTGGGTCGTAGTTTGAGCTCACTCCCCGCGGGGCAAGGTCCATGTGGTGTGTGTGTGTGTACCGAAGCGGACATGCGGGAAGCACGGGCAGCAGCAGCAGCAGCAGAGGCTAGCAGCAGCTGCAGCGGCTGGCCATTCAGCATCAGTAGCAGTAGCCGCAGCAGCAACGGCTCGCAACGGCAACAGCGGTCACGGCACCGCGGCGCCAGTATGAGGCAAACAACGCATCAGCAACTATTGCGGGACATCGAAGAGGGAAGGGCGTCATGAATAGCAAAAGGTGGGCGCGAGGCGCGCAGCGGAGAGAAAACGAAGGCTCAACGCCACACGATGGTTGCGGGAAGACAAATCGTGCTTGCGTTTCCGCAACAGGTCATCCAAGTGCAACTGGAAACTCGCATTGCAGGCGGGGGGGGGTCAGGAGGAGGGCTGCCACCAACGAGGGAATGAAAAAATCTGACCACCATATGGTCCGAACTCTGGCAGCACATGCAACAAGTCTGAGGCGCAACCAACACTACTAACCACATTTACCACTCCAACGACGCCACTTGTAGCCCAACTCGTACTTCTGCCAGCACCCGTAATATTAGTAGTACTGGTAGTAGTCGTAGTAGTAGTAGTAGTAGTAGTAGTAGTAGTAGTAGTAGTAGTAGTAGTAGTAGTAGTGGTAGTAGTAGTAGTAGTAGTAGTAGTAGTAGTAGTGATAGCAGCAGTAGCAGTAGTAGTAGTAATAGTGGTAGTCGTGGTAGTAGTAGTAGTAGTAGTAGTAGTGGTAGTAGTAGTAGTAGTAGCAGTAGCAGTAGCAGCAGTAGCAGCAGTAGTAGTAGTAGTAGTAGTAGTAGTAGTAG